ATTCCCTCCCCCCACCTACAATCCCTGCCGGTACGAGACTCAAACCCGCAACCTTAGGCCACGACTTCCCCACACATATACTTATGTAAAAATGCAACATACTTATTTGACCTGAAGTTAATTAAAAAAATCTAAAATAAATAAAAGAACAAACAGTAAAACAAAATGTTATTATATTTTAAAACTATATTAAAAACTTCTTGCTGACAAATTGATAAATCATAGTGGTTTGAAGGATAGTAGTCTTTTAATGTCATCTAAAGATTCTTGTTCTAAATATGCCTGACAAGATTTTGTTGTAACTATTGTTACACTGAATGACATTTTAGTGGGCATCTTCTGTAAATCATTGTAAAAATGTATGATGGTCATTATTTTAAGCTCAGAAAAAAAGAAAAAAGAAAAAAGAAACAGTATGAATTCTAATGTACAACAAATAATAATAATAATAATAATAAATTAAAGCTGCATTTAACTTTTGTTTTTAATGCCTAAAAACCTCTTTTCGTCTTTGACCCATAGGCAAAAAGTCTGCAGATGAGTAAATGAAACCGCTTTAGAGCCACCTTAAACTTCCATCAAAAAACCTGAATCATTATCTCACATGCAGCTTCTGTGCAACTAAGCCAAAAGTACCAATTACATTACATTCCATAAAAAAGAGACAATGTAACACCATTGCTTACATTTAATTAGGCATTACACAATATTGTGACGCCTAACTTTTAAAAGTAACATGAGGCAGTATGGATTCACACTATCAGCCTTTCAGAGACACACAGTGTCAGACTAATGGATCGGAGGGACAGCGCTAGTATTTCATCTGTGAGCGGTAAATACACATGCACACAGTGATAATCACAGCACAATCCATCCACACACATTCAGTCCAGTTCACTGCTGTAACAAGCTATGGACAGAGGAAGTGATACTGTTGTATGAACATGTTTGTTTGTGTTTGCTAATGTTTGTTAATGTGTCAGCTATGTAATTCAATACTCACAGATCATGTGGACCCAAACCTCATTTGTGTTTGCATAATACATACAAATAAACAACCCATTTTAACCCGTGCCATTTACTCTGGCCTAACAATCACACACTCACTGGATAGAAGAGAAAGAACAAGACAGAAGAGAGCGTGCCACACACACACACACACACACACACACACACACACACACACACACACATGAATTGGAATGGTTCTATTTTCTGTGACTTCATCTGAACTGCATTCACAGCAGATTGTGTTATATGCAGTTCTGTTATTATGGGCAAACAGCTACAACAATAAAAGCAGCAATGACAATTCTGTACACTCACTATGAAAAAAGTAAAAAAAAAGAAAAAAAGAAAAGAAAAACAACAAAAGACGGTCACACTTTATTTTAAGGTTCAATTCTCACCATTAACAAACCATTAACTATGACTTTTGCCTGAATAAACTCCTAAGTTGCTGCTTATTAATAGTTAGTATGGTAGTTGCTAAGTTTAGGTATTGGGCAGGATTAGGGATATGCTCATGCAAAATATGTGCTTTATAAGTACTAATAAACAGCCAATATGTTAATAATAGGCATGCTAATAAGCAACTAGTTAATAGTGAGAATTGGTCCCTGTACTAAAATGTTACCCAAAATAGTTATGGGAAATGAGCAGCTGTTGAGTTATGACAAACCGTGTTGTCATTAAAACTAATTACATGCACGCGCGCACACACACACACACACACACACACACACACACACACATTACCAGGCAGTGTCCAGTGACGTCATGGCAGCGTTCCACGTGTCCGTGGCATTGACAGAGTTCACACACGCCTCGGTACAGTGTCCCGTTCACCCTGCGGTAGCCCATCGCACACATCTGTGAAAACACACACAATAACTCATATTTAACACATCAAAACACATGATTCTTCACAAGGATGAGCGTGGTGTTTTGGGCAGGTTTGGCTGAAAATGCATCAGTGTGTGAGCGTCTGTGCTGTCAGTAATTAATCTGTGCTGTGCTAATTGACGGATCATTGTAGAGCACAGAGTGCTTTGATTTACTAAATGAGGGAGAAGATTTGTTTCAGTCAACTGAAGCACAAGGGAAGTTTATAGAGCCGGCTGATAAATGCCTGTTCAGACAAAGCATGTCAAGTGTATGTGTGTGTGTGTGTGTGTGTGTGTGTGTGTGTTCTTATTCAAATTGCCTTGTTTTGTTTCATTAATGTGTTTGAAGTTGCTCTCTTCTTATTATATTTGAGTGATTGTTCTCAGTGTTTACTTTCTACATAGCTGTCGGCATGGAATCACAATTGACATTTATTTTGAAAATAATTCCATAATTTTTTTATATGCATGCTATTGGTCTTGTTGTGAACAATTCATTCATGCATATTTTCTATATACCTCGTAATCTTTGTAATTAAAATGTCAAAACGTGCTCTTCTTGTGAGACTGCCATTTATTTAAGCCAATGACATTCAGATGTGCAACACTCACTGTTCACAGTCCAATCAACAACCGATGTTTTAAATTAAGTCCCAAATCCAAATTAAGTCCCGACCCCATATATATATATTTTTTTTTTTCTAACTCAGCTTTCACATCGGGACGATGCCTACATGTGCTGTCTAGGTAGGCAGATCACTAGAACTGCTGACTGCAGAGATCTTACACACACATGCTGAATATGAAGTGGATATTGGAAATTACTACAGCGATAAACATCACATTTGTTTTCCTGCTGTCTTTCAGTGACCCTGCTGACCCCGTCACTCTCAGAGCAGCCCGTCCTTCCCAACACTGAGCCGAGACACACAGGGAACATTTAAAGGGATAGTTAATCCGAAAATACACATTCTGTCATCATATCCACCCTCCTGTCCTTCTAGACCCTGCATGACTATTGTTCATCTTCAAAATACAAATGAAGATATTTTTAATTAACAACATTTTTGTTTATCTTCTCAAAGTCCATGCAACCAATACTCTGAGGCTTCAAAATCTTCGTACAGTCTATATGAAATTCATATGATTTGAGCGGTTTAATTCAAGTACTCTGCAGAGACATGATCACTTTACATGATGAGCAGATTTAATTTAGGCTTTTACACACTATTAGTCAAAAGTTTGGAATAATAAGATTTTTTTTATGTATATATTTCTGAAAGAAGTATCTTCTACTTACCAAAGCTGCATTTATTTAACCCAAAAGCAGCAAAAACAATGAAATATCATTACAATTAAAAATAACAGTGAATATATGTGAAAATGAATATTTGTTAAAATGTAATTCATTTCTGTGATCAAAGCTGAATTTTCAGCATCATGACTCCAGTCTTGAGTATCACTTGATCCTTTGGAAATCATAATAATATGCTAATAATATTCTGATATTGTAAATGTTACAAAATTATAAACAAATTATTTCTTTAAAAAAAAAAAGTAATACCCCAGACTTTAGAATGGTAAAGCATAACAGTTTCCACAAAAATATTGTGCAGCAGAACTGTTTTCAACATTGATAATAATCAGAAATGTTTCTTGAGCAGCAAATCAGTATATTAGAATGATTTCTGAAGGATTATGTGACACTGAAGACTGGAGTAATGATGCTGAAAATTCAGCTTTGATCACAGAAATCAATTACAGTTTAACAGATATTCCCAGAGAAACAGCTATATTGAATTGTAATAATATTTCACTATATTACTGTTTTTACTGTATTTTTGATCAAATAAATGCAGCCTTGGTGAGCAGAAGAGACTTCTGTCAAAAACATTTTTAAAAAACATCTTAATTATTCCAAACCTTGACTGATGGTGTAAAAATTCATCAGCACACACACAGTAAATAAAGGTCATCAAATATGTTCAATGGAAACTCAAGTGTGCTTGATGTGTGACTTGATTGTGGACTGCCTCAGTAGGAAAATCAATTTTTAAATAAAACAAACACGTTTTAACATAAAGAAAACATCTCAGGTTACATATGTAACCATGGTTCCCTGAGAAGGGAACGAGACACTGCGTCCTCTAGAGGTCGCTTTGGGGAACGTCTTCAGCGTGACCGGTGTCTGAAGCATACATCTAAACACGACAATAACATTGGCCGGCGAGAGACTGTGACGTCATCACCCAGAACGACCACAGTATAAAAGGGCGCCGGGAGAACACGTCATCCGCTTCTTTGTCTGAAGCTTATGTCCGAAGCATGGCAAGGGAACCAGAGGAAGCAGTGTCTCGTTCCCTTCTCAGGGAACCATGGTTACATACGTAACTTGAGACGTTCCCTTCTGAGGGAACTTCGAACTGCGTCCTCTAGAGGTCGCTTTGGGGAACGGTATACTCACGTCGCCATGCTGAGGGGAGTGCATTCCAGAAACCACGGCGAGCACTAAGTACCAACTCTATCATACCCATGGGAGTTGCCCCAAGGATGTCTTGATGGCTGTCAGTGACATTATCCCCTTCGGCCAAGGGCCTGAGCTGCATACCCTAAAATAACTTACCTGTTTAGGGCTGGGCTAGGAAGCCCAAGCCTAGGGCAGAGCTCAAGGCTTGGAATCAGAAGAAAGAGATTCCTCTAAGGGGATACGGCCAGGTCTCTAAAAATCAAACAAGACCCTGGCCTGCCACCCAGGGGGGCTACCGCCAGTTCTGAATAAACCTGCTCAAAGAACTGACTCGACAGATCTTGATAGCAACACCCTGAACAGAAATGTATCAACAGAGATACATAAGTTGAGTGGAGCCCAAGGCGAGAACTGGGGCCTAGACCAACTCGGAACGAGGCTGACAACGCGTAACCCTTACCATACAGGATTTTAGAAAGTGTGAAGAAAGCTTAGCGTGCACACTTACCACAATGTGGATTTTAGAAAGTGCACAGAGGCTCAGTGTGTGCACTTACCATAGCATGGATTTAGAAAAACCATTGCTTAAGCCCTACGTGACTGAGGTATGCTCATAAAACAAGATCCGAAGCATCTGCTCACAGATACCCAGATAGGGAGCGGCGCGCTTGCAAGAGGCCCTTCAGGGTGAAGGGAGCACAGCTAGCTCACTTAACAAGCAACTCGTCAGGGAGGCAGGAGATGGTCCAGCCACCAGGCATGATTGCTATCCGGAGCTCAAAAAACTTCAAAAATAGAAGGGGGACTCGAACGCTCAGATCGAGAGAGGCATGCTCATGAAACCCCCAAGGGCACTGCTAAGCTCGACCCACAAGGAGAACGGCTCAACAGGGAGGCGAAGAGAGGCCTAACAACCTGAGGCCACTACTCAATGAAACTCAAACGAGCAGAGGACTCGATGAGAGAGGTCCACAAACGCTCAGTCGGGAGCGGCAGGCTCAAAGGCAACCCTCTGAGGTGAGGGGAGCACTGCCTAGCTTGACCCAAATTGGGGCAGTTTATCAGGGAAGCAGCAAGCAGCCCAACAACCTGATGTCACTGCCACGGAGCTCAAGAGCGGAGGGTTCAACCCCTAGCGAGGAGAGAGAGGAACCCAGCTCGACTGAAGCGACCAATAGCCCAGGGTAGAGGACCTAACTCTCGAGTCGAGAGGAGGAATCACCCAGTTTGCCCAGGACCGGCGACCTCAAAGGGACCCTCCCGCAGTGAGGGGAGCACAGCCATATCCGGGGAGCAGATAGATCGCAAATGGGACATCAGAAATGGGATCCTGCTAGAAGGCGATCACACATTTCTAAGGGAACAAAAGGGTCCCAACATAAAGGCAACTGACCAAGGAGGCGACAGAGACGGGCCTAAAACTTAGTTAGTTGCAAATGGGGTTCTTCGGGAGCAGCGCTCTCGGCTCTCAAGCTGAGGCAGGCCCTACAGAACATACTGGGAACGACTCATAGCTAACCCTCACAGTGAGGGGAGCACTTCTCAGCTCGACCAGAAGGGGGCGCTAGATTAGAAGGGGTAACCCAGCAGAGCCCAATAAGAGATAGTCCACTGGTGCAGCTGGACATGGTCTCCTGCTTTCTATCTCGATAGAGAGCGTGTGTCCCGTATATACAGACCTCGATAGTATCTGAAGAAATAGCGGGACCCAATAACCATTCATGCGTATAGAGCTTACTGCTCCTCAGAGCAGAAGCATACAAGAGGGGTTTCCACAGAAACACAAATCCCTCTAACTCAGAGAATGCAGTGTACTCAAGACCACTCCGCAGAGGGGCAATTACTGGTTCGACCGCAAGGTCGGTGTGACAGGGAGGACCCGCGGGCCTGACCGTCTATGGAGCGTTGAGCTCCTCAGCGCCTCAGCGAGAGGAGCTCTAGCTCAGAGAACGTGCATGATGGTTAAGGAATGACTCAAATCTCGGGAGACCCCTCAGGGTGAGAAATGAGTAGCGCACCCTGGCCAGTAGGATAGGGAGCATGTCACGAAGCATGTACTAGAGTACTAGCCTGTGAGAAGTACCCGCAGGTCCTGAGGTTACAGCGTTATACTGGGGACCTGATGCTGGAGGGCTTCTGCAGAAGCCCAGGCTGCGTGTCCAAGCCGAAGATGAGGGCTTTCACCAGCCTGGATCCAGAACCGATGAGTGAAACCATTACTTTAATCGGTCAACAGCAGGAGGTCCTGACTTAGCAGGTGGTCCGAGTAGCGCTGCAGAGAAAGGTTAGCATCGAATACACAAGAACTAGCAGTAGAGTAGATAAAAATGGATCGTACTCACCAACCATGGCTCCCGCGCATGACTCAGGCTCATGGATATAGGCTGGAGGCAAAGTCCGAAGAGCACTGGGGCGTGAGTCGTGACATTAGTCTTCTGAGCCTTTGATCCTTAGATCGAGATGGGCCAGGACCCCTTTGATGTTCGGACTCAGACCTGGACCTTCGTGGAATGAAGGAT